TTTTGCATTTGCTTTCTACCGCCATTAAGTTTGTTAGGAGGATATTTGTTTCTATTTTGCTCTGTATAAATCATTAATATCAATACTTAATTTTATTTTTGTGTAAATGTTATTTTGCAGGTAGGGCTAAATAGTGATTGTAATCAACATGAAATACTTTCACAATCTTCAGATTATATAGTTCTCTTGAACTACAAGAAAGTTTTTAGGTAAAAAATACCAGAAACCTGACATCATAGGCCAAATAAGTGATATATTCTAATTGTCTTTGGTTTCATGTACGCAAAAGAAGACAGCATTAAATTTCAAGCATCTTGTCTGTTAGTAGAATGTATATCTGCAAGAAATAATCTTAACAAGTAGAATGCAATAAATGATTAACATACTCAGAGTCAAACAACGAAAAGCTACAATATGAATTGGAATTTAGTTTGTGCCAATTTTCTGTCTGATTTCTGCTGCTAATTCAGTGAATTCGTAAAGTCAATGAATGTTCTAATTTTATAGGATTTGGAGTGGAATGGATAAGCTGGTCAATGATTTGTAGGAAACACTGATCTGTATTTGACATTCTAAGCTGATGGGTTAGGAAGATGGGCTGGAAAAGTAACTACATTTTCCACTATTATATATTAAATGCCTTGATATTATGTATAAACATACTTAACAAAGAAACTGAATGATGGGCAAAGAAAGGAGATCAGCCAAAGACTCTAAAAGTCAAGGAAAAACAGAATGGAGAAATTCCAGAATTCTCTGTTGTCATTTATTTCCCATGTCTGGAAGCTAAATAAGCCAGAAAACTGGTAAGGCCTACTGGAACAATAAAACAAAATAAAACCAATACAAATGAATCCAGTTATCAAAGTACAGGGAAATAGTGAATGTCATGCAAATATTCTCTCCACACAATAAAACACCAAAGAAAAATGTTTGGCCTGTTCATAATTTCACAAAGGCAATGGAGAGTGGGTAACTCAAGGAACTATAATGTACTGTGTGATACCAAACAAACCTAGGTTGGAACCATAACTTCTCCTTGCCTGTGAGGTCACTATACCTGAATACATTTCATATATTTTATCCTGTGTTTTATTTTTATTTTTAGAGAATATTACGGAATGGATATGCAAATGACAATATTATGCAAAGTTCTTTATCAAGGACCTTAGAGAGGTCAGGTTGATACAATGTGAAATTTTATTCTAGTATGACATGATGTACAAATGGGGTAAACACCCCCTGCCCTGGGAAGTACTTACGTTCTTTGCTTCTGTATGTACCATCCACAGACTGAAATTAAAGTACAACTACTCCTGTTTCCCAAAGGATGGGATCTTCCTACATCAGCACCCTGGCTCACTTCTGTGGTATACTCCTTGTCCTGGCTATCCAGGAATTTAGTAAATTGTCAAAACCTTTAACCCTCTCTTCCAGGTGAGACCATATCTTAGTTAAGAAACCATGTGAAAATACAATTTGACCATTGAGAATGTTTAGGTTATGGATCATGCAATATTTTTAGGACCATAAAACTTCCTTACATAAATAATATTGACATTCTTACTCATATTCTTTAATTGATATTTTCTTTTCCCTTTAACAGGAACTCATTCTATGACACACTCTCTATATGTTGAACACAGCGGTAGTTTACTTGTGGTTGATAACTATCTCTGAGTTGATTGTTGTTCTACTTTAATCTGTCTCGTTGTGTTTGTCAGTTTCAGAACTGTACATGAATTAAAGTGACATACAATGTATTATATAACTTCCATGGGGATGCTTTTCCTCATCTTCATCTGCATAAGTTGTCCAATCTAGAATAACAACATAGTGTTAAATGGTCTTAATGTCATATGGGGTTCTGCCTTTCCCCAGATCACCAGTTTAAAATGCTTCTGCTATGCATGGATTGGTTTGCACAAAGAATCCTCGCTCAATCAAGAGATTTGATTTTAAAAAATCTAATGTTGGAACTTGCTTTACTTTTCGTAAGCTCAATAGCTGTACAATAACAGGAGATATTATGAGTTATTTTATTGATATTAATTTATTCACTGATATATTAAAATAAATTTTATTGAATTTGTCCTTTGACAAATACATATACGCATAAAGTGTATTGTAATTATAGTAACCCACCACCTTCTCTAAGCTTCCTCCCACCCTGATTACTTCTCTTCCTACAAGTCCCTTTCCTACTTTCCTACAGTTTTTTTCTTTTTTCCTTCTTTTCTGTTTTTTCAACAGGGTTTCCCTATGGCTCCAACTGGCTTAGAACTTGCTGTGTAGACCAGGCTGGACTTGATCTCAGAGAGAACTGGCTGCCTCTGCCTCCAAAATGCTGACATTAAGGGCGTGCACCACCACCACCATGCCCCACTGGGCTTTGTTTTAAAATGTGTGTGTTTGTGTTTGTGTTTGTGTTTGTGTGCATGTGTATGCCCCATTGAGTTTAACCAGGATCATTTATGCAACCATGGGTTCAAATCTATTCATCACGTCATCTGACTCCTCAGATGATCTGCAACTGAAAACAATGCCTTTTCTGAATGTAAGAGCCAGAGTGAAGGGCTAAGAGCTGCTGTCTTCTGGCTGTGGCACAGCCAATGCAGTTAATACCTCACAGTAGCTGTGGCTGCCTGCAATTGGCATACACAAGACTGGCTCAATCAACAGTCAATCAGGGATTGGGAATGGACACATTGGGCCCTACTTCTTGCTGAGCTATTGTCTAACAAATGTATTGTTTTCTTGCCCCCAGACAGTGTCTCGCAGTATAGCTCAGCCTTCCCTAGAACTCACAATGTCACCCATTTTGATGTTTAACATATGGCAGACAGTCCTGCCTTAGTCTTGTGAGTGCTGTGATTACAGGTGTGAACCAGAATCCAAGAAAAGGTGCCATAGTGTTTCTCATTGTTAAATAATGTCCCTGATGGCTGAAGCTCATATATAATGATTCAAGAATAAGAAGAAAAAATAAATTTTAACAGAGAAAACTATGGCACGTATTGCCCTCCCTTTGTTTTGGAGACAAACACTTTCTCTTATTTTCTCCCACAGAAATTCATGTATGAATGACTCTCTCTGCAGGAGACTCATATATGAATTCTAGTCACATTTTTTGTCAGTTTTTATACTGCCTCATTTCAATCTTACTTTCTTAAAGGTGGCTTAACATGAAAGGACAGAAATCAAGTAAATCTATTTTTCTTTTTCTTTTCAGTGCATTTCCAACTATTTAACATTAATTCCTAGTAATACCTTCCCTGTTGTATTGAGCAGTATTCGATAATGTTGCCTGGAAGTCCTTGGTTGTTTAGTGATCGACCTTAAAGACTGATTTTATCTGCACCGATAATGCGGTATTATTCATTTTTATGGGGTAATATACTTTGAACTTTTGCATTTTCCAACAAAATGGATTCATTAAACATTAATTGGATGCACAGAGAATTATTCTTGATTAAGGTCAGCTAAGGAAAATCCAAAAATTATTTTTAAAGATATTTGCACTTCATAGCTCATGTTTGTAATCTCAATACTTAGTAATTGTAAGAAGATTTGTCAAAAATTCAAAACCAATCACCACTACATAGTGAGTTATGAGTTTGCTGAACTGCAGTGTGAAACACTGTCTCAACAAGCAAATAAAACAAGCAAGGAAATAAACCCACTTAAGTTGTGAAACATTAAATTTTGTTATTATTTACAATTACCTATCTTTTTAACCTATACTGTTTTTCATGTCTTTACATGGTTTTCAGTTAACTTTTAGTATCATTTCATTTCAATCTGAAGAACTAATTGTTAAACATATTCTAAGAAAAACCAGGTAATGAGTTTTTAAAAATAGTTCTTAAAATAGTATTTGTTTATAAGTAAAGAAATATATTTCCATTGAGAAATATAGAGAACCACAATTAAAGACATGATAACTACATCATTGCCTATATGCCAGAACACACTTTAATGGAGAAGGTCTAACACCATCAAAGGACACCTGTACAGACCAGAAGAGAAATGAATGAAAACTATACTATTATTTTGCTATTCACAAATTAGTCAATGAATTACTACAATCAAGAAACGAGAGTCAATGAAAATACACTTTCCATACTGACTGAGATTGAGATATAGTTACATACTGTAAAATAAACAAAAAATAATTCAATGTATTCTTAAAAAATGATATGAACTCATTACATTATATGTAATTAAATCGTTTTTAGATAATTTGTAAAAAGCTATAGCATGTACCAGACAGTTAATAAGTAAGGCTAATAATGGGAATAAAATCACATAATTCAACATATCTATAAAGGATTTTATCGTATTCATCTCAATTGATAGGTTCATGAGAGTTAAGAAAATGAGCTGAATGAGAAAAATTTGGAGGCAGTTAGAATCTATGCATTACTGAATTACAATTAACAGATTAATATGCTGAAGTGAAAGTATTGACAAAGAACAAAATGATAATAATGTTCGAGATACTTCTCATTTCAGGTAATTCATAAGAATTCTATTTCATTTAAACAAACAGTATTGGGACCAATTGGAAAGCATACTAATGATAAGTGTGAAGACCAAGGCACAAGAAAGCAACAGTATGCACCCCACAAAATGAGCACAGCAGAGATAGACACTGTGGGTTTTATTGCAATAGGTGATAGAAGCACAAAAAAATTCCCATTTGCCTTTGAAATTCTCAGTACTGCCTACATTTCAGCATAATCACTCTCTTTTTGCTAATATTTGGTATACATTTGTACATATATAAATCCTATTTGTTTTGTATAAAATCTACTTATGCAAAACATTCAGTTATTTCTTCACAGATTTTGTTTTCTTTATTAATCTATTCATAGTGCTTAAAATAATGTAATATAAATATAACACACTATGTAACTTTATATGAAAGCAATTGCTCCATTATGTTTCTGGCATGAATATGGAACAAAGATTTAAGCTCATAATCTGATTTAGAGAAATTACATTTTATGAAAGCATAAAGAAAATAATTTCAACAAATTATTGACTGTCCTTTGTAGAGCACACTTTACATCTTTGTTCCTCAAACTATAGATCAAGGGATTCAATACTGGGATAATCAAGGTGTAAAAGATGGAAGCTACTTTATCAGTGTCAAAGGAGTGGCTGGACTGGGGCTGAACATACATAAATATCAAAGTCCCATAGAAGATGATGACCACTGTGAGGTGGGACCCACAGGTGGAGAAAGCCTTGCGCCTGCCCTCAGCAGAGTTCATCCTGAGAATGGCTATGAGGATGAGCAGGTAGGACACAAGGATGACCAGAAGTGAGGAAATCAAATCAAAGGCTGCCAAAATGAGAATTATCAATTCAACTTCCTGTGTATTTGAGCAGAGAAGAGTTAACAAGGGGAGACTGTCACAGTAGAAATGTCTGATAACATTGTAGCCACAGAAAGACAAAGTGAAAATCTTAATAGTGACCAGAAGAGACACAAAAGTGCAGTAGAGATAGGGGATTACCACTAGTAACCAGCATAATCTTTTTGACATGATGACAGTGTAGAGAAGTGGTTTACAGATGGCCACGTAGCGGTCATAGGACATTGCAGACAGAATAAAAAGCTCATTAACAATGAACACAAGAAAGAAAGCTAGCTGTATAGCACAAAGATTGAAGGATATAGTATTTTTATCGACAACAAAATTTACTAACATTTTTGGTCCCACAGCTGTAGAATAACCAAGATCTGTAATAGCCAGGTGCCTGAGAAAAAAGTACATGGGTGTTTGCAGCCTGGAGTCCACCATGGTGAGGATGATCATTCCCAAGTTGCCCACCAGTGATATCAGGTAGATGATGAGGAACAGTCCAAACAATGGGGCCTGCAGCTCAGGGTGGTCAGTGATGCCCATCAGGATGAATTCAGTCACCACTGAGACATTGAGTTTCTCCATCTGGCCTTACCCGAAAAAACTGTTTAGGATACAGACATTAGCAAAATCCAGCATTATTAAATATCAGAAAATTATGGTTCAAAGCTAGTATAAACTATATTCAAATTTTCAATGACAAATGATGTAAATTCCTTTTGAATAAATAGAACTATCTACTTCAAATGATGAAAATTCTCACACCTGTTATTGGTACAGCTCAGACTTGAATACACCAGATAGGTGTTGGACATCTGTGCGTAGAGCAACATAAAGCGTCATATTGCTAACCATTTGTGTGAAAGGGGAGAGAGCCTGCAGTATTAGTATGGAGACATGCTCTGCATCGCTGTTTTTCCTCTTTTTTTTTTTTTAGTGACAGAGGGTCTGAGTACATAATCATCTTCACACTTACTTGAAACAAGCCTCCTGCCTCAGCCGATTGAGTGCTGTGATTAAAGGACTCTCCTCTCTCTTTCTTCTTTCTTCCTTCCTTCCTTCCTTCCTTCCTTCTTTCTTTCTTTCTTTCTTTCTTTCTTTTTCTTTCTTTCGTCTTTTTGAGACAGGGTCTCCTTGTAGCCCCAGCTGTCCTGGAACTCGCTATGTTGAGCAGGCTGGCTTCAAACTCACAAAAATCCACCTGCTTCTGCCTCCTAAGTACTGGGATTAAAGGTGTGTGCCACCATGCCCAGCAGAAGTATGTCTTTAATATCTGGAAGTTTTCTATGCTTTGTGTATGGTTTAATCAAAGTGTGTTTTGGGAAAATCATCTCACTTATCGAAAATGCTTTTTCTTTATATTGATAAACCAATTCATCTTAAAAGGTTTGAAAAAGATCTATGAACAGTAAATGACCTAGTGTGTCTATGCTGTTATAAATTATTGTAAATTTCAAGTTTATAATGTTATGAAATTTTCAAAGAAGGAATAAATAAATAAATAAGTTTCATTTATGAAAACGTATTAAACACTTCTGGATTACTGATTACCTACATTTTTAGGGTTGTAGTGATTCACAGATGAGGAGTCCTGTATAGTGTGCTGCATGTAACTAATTCAAGTATTTCTCCAAGCATGATTTTTAAAATATGATTTTATTACTTTAGGCAGCAAGAACTTCCTCAAGTTGTGCTATAAGGCAAGATAGGACAGGAAAACTTCTATTTAACCAAATACAGTATACCTGAGTATGCAACTATTGAAAACTGAGCAGATTTATAAAGTGAAATGTGTATTGCATGAAGACAGTTATCATCACTTTAAAAAATGAGTTCCAAGATTTTGAAGAGAGGAAATGATGTTTATAGCGAAAGTTTTAGTGAAAGCAATGAATGGGTGAGCACTTAACAAAAATTGAAACACATATTTGCATAAAGTATTAAAGTAAGTACTTATATATAATTTGCACCTAATTATTGAAATATTGCTTACTAGATTGTGATGAATTCTTTTGTACCGTGACTTCCTGAGTACCTATTTGTTGTGTAGAAATATAGAAACACATGCCAATAGACATGTATTGGAAAGGTACCTTCAAGAACTGCAGTGAGAAACAATATGGGCCTTCTGTCTTGTTTACCTTGGGATTTTTTTGTAATTATTTATGGCAAAAATAAATAGTCACACTTGTTAAGTATCTGGTTTTATTTTCATTTCTGTCTTTAGCAATTTTTTCCTAAAATTAACTACCAATTGATGTGATTCATTATGGAGTTTTCACCCTTACACATAATTATTTGTCCTAACTGTCCCTCCTTCATTACTGCCCACTGTTCTTGGTGATCCTGATTCTCTTTCTACATGGCGTCACTTGTGACACAGAGCAGAAGGGAGTATCTGTTTGTTTAGTAAGTCTGAACACAGTGAGTTTCCTCACTGGCTTTGGAGTCTGTGGAAAGAATTTGAATGTTTTTTAAAGATCAGTTTACTAGTATTTGGGTCACAATTGTAGTTTGGTTTTGTACAGATAGTGTACCATTTGAGAAAATTTTGTCTATGTTTGGCACATCTCACTGAAAATCAAAGACCTTGGTGTGTAAATAGATCCTGTAGTCCTGACGTGGGTGGCTATGGTTATAAATGAGAAGCTCTCACTAAGAACCATCTGGGCCACAGTGTGCCACCAGGACATGTTGGGAGCTAAACTGTGTGCTAAAGGAAACGTGTTGCCTTCATTTCTGTAGCCCATCACATAGCACTGTTGGCATGCATAGGCACTCAAAGAATACATATTGAACGAACAGTGCCAGTGCCAAGCAACGGGATTTTATTCTTTCCTTACTCTTGCTGCTCTAACGTACCTCCTGACTGCCACTGTCACCTCTTCAGAGCAGAACTTCTCTAAGGGACGTGGAAGGGACAACAGCTAGGGCCAAGGAGAGCCTGGGGGAAACGGCTGTCCTGAACAAACTGCTGGCACAGGAACCAGAAGTAACCAAGAAGACCCCAGAGTCAAGGTAGAGTCAAGGACTTTGTGGACATTTGGCCAGTATGAGAACATAGTTGGTGGGCTAATGGCGATTGTTGACTGGCTCAAAGAAGAAGCAGAAAATGAGAAGATGAAGGCCTGTGTGGCTCTCACATCTGTAGAGAAGCAGAGAGGCCCAAAAGCAGCAAGTGCTGATTGAAAAAAAAAAAAAAAAAGAGATGCCGCTGGAAGGCTTGGAGCCTCGTGAAGGAGAAACAGAATGAAGGGTATTTATTGGCCAATTTATTTTTCAGAAATGGACTGAAAATTTCATTGACATGAGGAACGCAAAAAAGCATTTCGACCAAAAACAACGCTGTACCATTCCCGGGATTTGACGAAGGACCAAGTATGTCAGTGTATGGAGCACAGCCCGTAGAGGCAGGACTGTCAGGGCTGTGGAAGCTGCTAAATATCTCAGCAGCAGCTGCCTGGGGCAAGGCATACAGCGTATTACTTCTTAGTACAAACTAAGCTTTCTAAACATTGATCTGCCTTATTGTAAATTCATATCTGCAAAGAAATGCAGTAACATTGCTTTCAAAACAAAAGAAAGAAAGAAAGAAAAAAAAATTTGGACCATTCCGTTTTAACAAAATAACTGTTCCCAATCTTCAAAAAGGTTTTATTTCACAACTGAATTGGAGATAGAGCAACTCTATTCACAAACAATTATTCAAATAACTATTGCATACCATACTGTTTTCACTTTATATAAGGCTAATCTTGTAGGGTTGGTAGAGCCTAGACTGGAGTAATTTAGAGGGAAGTCAGCATGAATGGCCAAGGTTACTGAACTCCTCCTCAGACCACAAAACAAACAAACAAACAAAAAACCCAAAAATCATACATTTAAATTTATGTAGCATATGTTCTCTATGTTCTCAGTTCTTATATTTTAGATGAACACATTTATTAAAAATACATAAAATTCCGTGTGTGGTTGGGAGTCAGAGACTGGTGGATCTCTGTGACTTTGAGGGCAGCTTGGTTTATGTAGTGAGACCATTTCATTTCTCAAAAACAAAGATGAACAAACAAACAAAAATCTCCCAAACAAAAAGCATATGGAACTTATTTATCTAAGCAATAGCATAATAAGGATGCCTGTGCATTTAGCCTTTAAAACATATTGAAAAGTTCTGTATGAATTAAAAAGGAGAGAAGTTCTATTTCTGTCAGGTATAGTGAGTGCTGGAAAACACAAGGCACTAGGTACGAAAAGGCCACAATCTGCTGTGGGTTTACTATTAAAGCAAATCTGTACAAATGTCACTAAAACCCCATGGCTACTTATAACACATGTCACCACATGAAACACTCTCGATTTTACCTGTGCAGAGTCTTGGCCTTGCTTCCTTCATGTGTTTCTCACAAGGAAAACAAGAACAATTATGTAGTTTTCTACTTTTCAAGGTTATCCCTCAGGAGATAGCAACCAATTTGTTGAATATCCCCATAGCATTTCAAAGTATAACAAAATGCCTAGAGACTACCCATTAAAGAAGAGAAATTTATGTTCAGTAGTGTGTTAAGGTTCTCCAGAAATCAATAGACTATGCTTATAAATTGACTAATAGCTGTGTTCTTTAGCTTCATTTCCAGATATCACATTGCCAACCTTATTTACCAAGAGTGACTCTCACATGTCTAATCAAGTAATTTAGAAACATAAGGATCTCCATAACAGTAAACAAATAATTTCCATAAGTTCATCTTTCTGTAAAGTGTTTAAAATTACTCTCAAGTAGGACTGGAGAGATGACTCAGTGCTTAATAGCAGTGGCTGCTCTTGCAAAGGACCCAGGTTTGATTCCCAGTACCCCCACGGTGGCTAACAACCATCTGTAACTTCAGTTCCAGGGGATCCAACACCGGCTTCCGACTGCCACTGGCACTGCACAACACAGGTGTGCTTACATACTTATAAACATAAAATAATTTAGAAATCTCTTAAATATTTTGAAACTAACTTTTTACAGAGCTTATGAAGTCAGAATTTAGAATTTGGAGTATTAATTTAAGAAAAACTGCCAAACCTTATTAGAATAGTAAAACTTGTGTCCTTTCATTTAACCCTTTCTTATTATTTTTGCATGATTCAACAGTCTTAGAAACAAACCTGGCCATCACAGTAACTGTAGAAATCAGAAAACCTACAACCACTGAGTGAGATATGAAGGTCAGTTTGGGAATTTATAAGGAAATACTATTGCAGTCTAGTAAAATACTTTTCATGGTTCTTATCTTCATCTGTCTCAATTCATCCAATACAATTTTTTAAATATTTTATTTATTATTTTTATGTGTATGTGTGTATTTCCTGCATGTGGGTAAGTGCACTCATGTCATGCAATGCCCACAGAGGACAGAAGAGGCTGTCAGATCCCCTGGAACTGGAGTTACGGACAGTTGTTAGCTGCCATGTGGGTGCTGGGATTCAAACCTGGGATCCGTAAGATTAAGAAAATAAATATCATTAAAAATTTATTAATTCAGAAAATTCTGTTAAGGAGGTATCTGGTATACCAATTTTAAAATAAAATTTAAAAAAGT